ACTTCACACAGCCTCTCTGGGCTGCCAGAAAGGACTCCCCTCCACTGCTCCCTGCTAAGGTTAACCCTTCCTACACCTGTGTGGGGCCAACATCTCATCACAACCCCCAACACTTTAATCCCAGAGGTGCCCTATAGCAATTGTTGGGGCAACAAAGGGAGGGACCCCTACATTGCCAAGAGCCCAATAAGATCAAATTGCTCTTAGCCCAGTAAATGGAGGCAGAAGATGCCCTATGCATACATAAGCACAGAGTGCCTGCATGTCACCATCAGATGTGATAAAAAACTGATTTCAGCTTAGACTGACAAATGAACTGGGAAAACATCCCGTACCCTTACACAGAAAGCCAGACAGCTTCAGAGAAGGTGCAGGAATGGCTCCAAACTAAGAGCCTACAGCTTCCCAGACAGAGGATGCCCCTGACAAATGCCTCTGCAGACTGGAAAGCAATGGCTAAGACCCTTGATTATCTTTAGGGCACCAAAAAGACTGGCCCAATACCAAAACCTTCCAACTTCTTTAAAAGATAACCATGGTTAACGCTATCAAAGGCCTTTTCCTGGTCCATTGAAACAAACTGCACACCCAGATTACAAAGTGTGCTAACAGTAAAAACATCATGAATTAAAAACAGATCAAAAACAGAGCAGTTAGGAATACAATGTTTGATCCGGGTGTATCAAACAGTCCGGAAGTCAATTGGCTAAGGCAGTGGATAAAGTCTTATAATCAGAACAGAGAAGAGAAATAGGTCTCAAGTTATGTAAGTCACACAGAGGTTCCCTTTGTTGTACAGCAGGGTGATCGCAGCCCTGCAGTAACTGAAGGGCAGATCCTTCTCCTGGATACACTCCAGCACCCCTAGAAAAAAAAGTCAGGACTGATCAGATGCCAGAAACACTTGTAGAATTCAGGTGGCAGCCCATCACTCACTGGGGCCTGGCCTGTAGACAGCTTCTGGACTGCATCAGAGAGCTCCCACAGCGACATCTCTGTTCCTCACCAGTCAGATGGGTAACCCCTGGTACAGAGCCTCCACTGCCAGCACAACACAGGCATCAGGCAAGTACAGAGTATTGTAAAAAGAAACAGCTGCTTTCCAGATCTCAGCAGCATCAGCCTCAGAAAACATCTGGCAGCTGGAGGCTAAAAATCTGCTGACAGTCTGTGCACTTTCTCCATCCCAGAAAAAAAACCTTGTGGGAGTGTCAGTTCCAGAAAGATGCATAAAATGGGCCTAAACCAGGGCTCCTTGCACATTCTCTTCCAACAAGCACCTCAGTTAAGGTTTGGTGAATCTGCACTGGGTTTCCCATATCAAGGTTGCCACAGAGACTCAAGATGTCTTGTTCCAGGGCACAAGGACCATGTGGCAGCCTGGGTATACTACTGGCAGAACAGGTAGATCTGGATCTTTTCAAAATCCCATCACTTTCTCAGGGACTCATGCAGCAGCTAGTGCTACTGCCAAAGCTCCCAAAACACAGAAAATATCTGGGTGAAATTCAAGTCCTGTAATAATCTGGTTTTTAAATGGCAGTGGGAAATACAGGCAGGAAGAGGGAGACACACTGACAAACAATGATAATCAGACATGGAAGCGAGTAGGAGACATGGAAGACTGAACAAATATATTCACACTGGCCTTCATGGTATAAAAGTGATCCTGTCTAGCCCCTGAGGCCTGATTGGGAGTAGCTTTCAGCCAAAAGTACTGCCTAACAGTGGGGTGAAAGAACCTTCAAACATCTACTAGCTCAAAGGTTTGCAGGAGATGATACAGTTCCTTGTCTGAGTATATGGCTCCTCATGATTCCTGTCTAAAACAATCTACAGTTCAATAGAAATTCCCTCCCAGGACAATAATAGTATCAGGGCCACATCCAAGCACAGCATGTGCAAGTGTCTGCAGAAAAGAGACATGATCTCATCCCAGAGTAGTAGCATTCACAGTAAAAAGATGAAAAACAATAGCGTCAGTATGCGTCTCTACCCAGAGGAGCTGGCCTTACACAATTTCCTTCACAGAGGAGATCTGTGCCCCTGCAATTTGGGGGGGGAGGGGGAGGGAGGGAAAGAGAAGAGAAGAGAAAAACTGCTAACCCAGGAGTGACATTGAAGCCATGGCTCAAGAAAGCTTCCTCATCCCATTCCTTCAACCAACTCCCGATTGTCAGGGTTTGAGTGCATCTCTTGCAAAGAGACAACCTGTTTTGTCTGAGAAATTCAAAGAGTTGTGCCCTTTTATGACATCCCCACATGCATTAATACAGAGCCAAAACTGAGCAGCACCATAGAGACTGGAAGGAGAGAGCTGAACAGAAGAGAGAAGCAATGGAAAGTAGAAGTACTTGGAACAAAATGAGCTGTTGGGAGGTCTACAGATCTTGAAAAATCCACACAAGGTTCCTCACCTCTCTCAACAACTTTGAGAAGGAAATTTTTCCTATAATCAGCCGAGGTATGTCTCAAGACAAGGGCAGCTGAATGAACAAAGTGCTGTAAAACAGGGACATAGGCCTTGACCTCAGGTCCCCGCTTCCCTTTAGTGCTCTCCAAAAAGTCCTTAATCTCCTTCACACTGTACCCAGCCTTCCTATATAGCTGACTGGGACATCAGGGACCAGAGAGATCATAGTCATCCTCTTCATCTCTCCCAGACTCCACCCACTAAGTAGAACATTGAGCCACCACTGTAACATTCCCATCATTCACGAATTAGAAATTCATTGGGAATATGGATATGCCAGTTGCTCCCAAGAGTGCTAGGCAGTGCAGCCCCAGGCTGGGAGCCGGTGTCATCACTGCAGCATGCAGGATCAGGAGCTTGAGGACTCACCATGCTCTGGGAAGACAGTACCCCACTGGGAGCTCCTCACACGGAGCTACCACCCAGCACAACACTATCCTCCTTCTCAGGGCACAGAGCTCCATCAGCAGCGACTGCCAGCAGCTTAGGGGCCTCCAAAGTCTTAGCCCTTTTATAGTCTCACATAAGTCTAATTTGTCAGTCTGTTCTTCACCCCCATCTCTAGAACCTCTGATTTCTCTGCAGGGAGGTGCTCCTCAACCTCCAGGAGGGAAGTGATGGGGTCACAACTGAGGGTTCCTCTTGTAGGTGGGGGGGCTGCTCCCTGTACAATGGCAGACCACATATGGGGGGACAGAAACTGGCAGTGCAGGCTCGGTGTCCTGATGGTCCCTTGACATTCCAGCCCCCTCCTCCCCACTATCCTGGGGCCCCATGTTCTTACCAGGGACCCAAACCAGCATTGCATGGGCAGAAACCCCTCAAATGTCACCACACAGGAAACATTTTGTGTTTTCAGAGGTAGCAAGCACTGTATAATCTATGTGGTGCTTTAAAACCCAGTTAATCATCTTGAAAAGTGAGTAAGACAGTGAAGTGGCAAAATCTGTAGATGACACAAAACTAGGTTAGTCAAGGCTAGAGAAGACTAAAAAAACAGGTGATTGGAAAACACAGTGGCAGATGTAATTCAATGTTCACAATGCAAGGTAAAGCACATCAGAAGGAATAACTTCCATTACTCAGATTCTGCAGGCAACTAACATACCCCTTCAGGAAAAAGGCCTGGGCATTATTGTGGACAGCACACTGAAAATCTACTTAGAGCTTTTCAGAACAGATGCCTTAGTTTAGTAGGATTACCTTTACAATTCACTTTTTCTGTGCAAGCAGCAGGGAAAAGTCATTATTACATTAAATACAAGCTGTGGCTTCTAAACAAACTATTTCATGGTCTTTTCTCCCCTGGCCTTCTGTCTGAAAAAATTTCCCACCATTGAACCCCTAGTGCTGCACTAATGTAGATGAGGCTCCAGGCAGTCACAGCTATTTTAAGCCCAGGTTTACATGACATGGTACAAGCAATGCAAAGTTTTACAGTGTTAGCACCATTAAAATATTAATAGTGTTAGGAAAAAAAGGCTAGTGTAGGCAAAGCCTCTGTGTGTATATATGTATATACATACACACATTAAATGTATCCTAAATAAAATGGTGGTAGCTAAGAGGTCAATTGTGGAACAATATGATAAATTGCACTGATCATGTACCTTTAATTCTTTATCTGCACTCCGCTTGCTAATCCATCTCCACTGGATCTACTTCTAACATTCCAAACCTCTCATCAGCTTCATTGAGCTGCCATAAAACAGTCTCCTCCTTTCCGCCAAATGATGAAATTCTTTCTTCCCTGTTCTCCTCCCCCACCAATAAAATTACAATAGTTTGTGTTATAAGATATGACCAGAGGTTAGGGTGCTAGCTTAGGACTTCAGAGCTCTGTCATAGATGCCTGTGTGTTCTTGGACAAGTCACATAGAATCTCTGTACCTTGGTTTCCTAACTATAGGATGGGCATAAGTAGTACTTCCCTACCTCACATGGGTATTGTGAGGATAAATAAAAGATGGTGAGGTGCTCAGGTACTACAGCAATGGAGGTTGTATAAGAATCTCAACTAGCTAGATAGATATGCAATGTCCAGTTCTGGACTAATGATGGCTTAAGGTCCCACATCTCAAGAATTATCAGGGCTAAAGAGAGCTGGGAATCCCCCTTTAACAAAGATAGTTTAATTTGTTTCTCTCTCATTGAAGAGGATGAGGTATTAGATCATAACAGCCCAATATTAATTATAGTAAAACTGTTTGAGATTTTGGAGGTTTTTGTGGTACCAGTTATAATTTTTCCTCTTTGTTTTCTGCTTCTAGAAAGAGTACAAAGTGTTACAAAAAATGGTACCCCAGTAAAAATGTATAAAGCTTTCTGTAAAGCATACAGAACACACACAATGGTTGTCCATGTGTAAATTATGAGGTCATCCCAATTGAGCACCAATAAAGTTTTTGTAACATCCCACAAAATGATCTCTCTCTCACACACACACACACACACTTCAGAGCCTCTCTCATCTTTAAAAAAAATTTGGGTTTTGGGTCATCATTCATTCACACAAAATACCACTTACAAGACTAGAAACAGCTGTGCTTTAGTGTGGTCTGAATGCACCTCTGGGTTCTGCTGGGCTCCTGAAGCTTGACTCCTGTGAGGAGAGACACAATATTGATACCAAAATTGTATTAATACAACTTTTATTCTTTTAATAGTTGGTAATTACAAATCTGCTTGTATCTTAACTTAATATTAGATATAGCTACAAGTTGTAGCCAGGATGTTTGAAAATATAATACCAGTGTATCTTTTTAGTTAATTATGTTATAAAATATTCAGGCTACTTAAAGAAATGGCAGGAAGTGTCTACTCTGTCCCCAAGGATAAGCGAATGTCAGGAAGATATTCCTTCCTTAGCCGTAAAGCCATAAAACCATGTTTAGAAAAAGCTGCATTTTACACTTTACCATGCTTTAATTTTATACTATTTTCTTTTGTCCTATGTTTAAAAAGATATATTGGCTACTGAAATGTAGGCTTGGCACAAAATATTTAATAAAATTTTAATTGCTATAACAGATTGTAACGCTAAGGAGCTTGGATTAAGAGACAAACACTAACAGTGTTTTATCTAGACCAGATCCTGTCCCTATGTATAAGATACCAACTAGTCCAAATGTAATCCTTATATCAAGAAAGCAAATCATGTGAAACATTCTCTAAAACATGAAAGACCTGATGGAAAAAAGAAAAGGAGTACTTGTGGCACCTTAGAGACTAACCAATTTATTTGAGCATAAGCTTTCGTGAGCTACAGCTCAAAGTGAGCTGTAGCTCACGAAAGCTTATGTTCAAATAAATTGGTTAGTCTCTAAGGTGCCACAAGTACTCCTTTTCTTTTTGCGAATACGGACTAACACGGCTGTTACTCTGAAACCTGATGGAAAAAGGAATGTAGAGTTGTGTTATAAATCCACAGGTAAATTGTGCCTCTATCAACCTCCACACTTTTGCAAGAAAAATCGCTTCTTGTGTCTTTAAGCCTCTAGAGGGAAAACATTTGTTGGAATGTTTTAAACCTTTTGTTTATTTCTTAAATGTTTAAATGGCAAACGTCTTTATGAAATGCATGCTTCCAAATATGTTAGCTAAATGCAAAGCTCCTAATATCATTGCCATGTAAATTACAAAATGCTTTTATGTTCCAACATGGATTCTAAGGACCTTGCTAAATTAATTACTAATGTAAGAAGCCATTTTAAGTATAGAATATTTATATTAATGGAAAAAAATTAAATACTGGCACTGCTCAAATAACTCTCTAATCCAACACAGGAAGAATCATCCTTCCAAAAGTGATCATTTAGTTTCAACAACTACTTACTTAAACTACTGACTTTCTTTAAAAATCATTGAATATTAAAAGACTGCTTCAAAAACTGAAAACTTTTACATGAACAGGAAGTTGGACATTCAGAAAACAGAATTTTGTTTCCTATCAAATTCTAATGAAATTGAAAGACTATCTCAGAAAATTGTTTAATAAAAAAGAGTTAAAACTAAGTTTAAAAATTATTTGATGCTTTCCTGGCACAAGTAGAAAAAAGACAATTAAACGTTGAATATGCATTAGGCAGATTTCATCTTCAGGAGCTAAAGGTGTCACCTCAGCAAACCCCAAAGGCATGGAGCCAATGAAAGAATGACAGCAACCAACTTTGAATCAGCCAGCCTGTAAGAAGTGTATTTTCCTAATTTCATGGAAATAGGAAGGAAGTATAAAAAAAACACACCAGCGCAAGCACCACTCACACATACACACACCCCTTCTGCCAACCTGCATTAACAGGAAGCACAAAGCACTCATCAACTTATCCTGATTATGTCTACAAGCAAGCTGCCAAGACTAAAGAAGATGCTAACCCAAGAAACCCTCTCCAATACTTCAACATGGATTGGTAAGTATCACAGGCACAGACTTACCCAGCAGCACCTCCTGCTGGTCATCTCAGGGAATTAGCATCCAGCCTCCAGAGCGCCCTCTTCCAGCCAGTATCTCACCACCCCAGGCCCCCATGCCCCCTGGCAGTACTCCCACAGTTCTGGGTCTCCCCTTCCCAGGGGAACCCCCACCCACTATCCCCACCTCACCTCAGTCTTAGGCTACTGCCAGTCACCAACTAGCCCCCTCTCCCTGGGGCAGACTGCAGTATAAGCCAGTCATCACAGGCAAGGGGGTTTAGACCTGCTGCCTCTGCCTACCAGTGGCTGCCCCTGCAACCCCCGTACCTAATAGGCCTTCCCAGGCCTGCAGCCTAGGGCTTTCCTAGGCCCAAGCTCCCCAGCTCTGCTCCCAATCTAGGTACTTTCTCAGCCCTTACAGCCAGGTCCCTCTCTCTCCAAGCTAAAGAGAATCTTTGCTAGAACTGCTGGCTCAAAGCTTTTATAGAGCCAGCGGGGCCCTGATTGGGGCGTGGCCCTCAGCGGCCACCACTTCCCCCAATCAGCTGGGGTTTTACTCCCTTCCCCAGCCCTAGCCCTCTGCAGGGCTTTTCCAATCCTTTCAGGGCTGGAGTGGGTGCTCACCTGCTACAGTAAGAGAAAGTTAGCTAAAACACTGCCAAGAAATTTGATTTAAAATGCTTGTAATAATCTTGTTGGGATATGGAAATGCTGTTGTAACTTAAAATATTTACAGTTCTTATTTTAATCACCAAATGGTTAGACTATATATTCCTGAAGAGGAGACAAGGCTAAACATTGGCAAACAGAGAAAAAACAGTGGAATTTAATTGAATATAAATTTCTTAATATTCATGTTTGGCCTGTCTCAAGACAGTTCATTAAATGGCTTCTTCTAAGTACTGATTTATATACCTCCTTCAATGTCATAGGATTTAATTACAATTGCTTCCTGTGTCCATCTCTAAACTGACTGATTATTATTATTAATAACTGGACAGGTTTCACTTGCCCTTAAATTATTTTGCCTCCACATGAACAGTTTTAAAGTATCTAATAAGATATTAAGACTGAATTCACAGTAATTTGGGAAACAATATACTTTGGTCTTAACTTACCAAATGAAGACTGCCCCCTAGCTAGTCCCTTCTCAAAGGTGTAAACTCTGCTAAAATCTCTTCACAGACAGAAATAAAGAAGAGATTGTAACCGAAGTAACCAGTCTATCAATTGTGTTCTGTCATTTGTGTTGTTTCGTTTAATGTTTTTGTTTCCTTTTCTGAATGATAAAATAGCCATGGTTAATTGCTGTGATTATTTTGTTTTGTCTCAATCATGGTGTTCTGTAAGGTAATTTAAAAAATAACGCTGTGACTAAAATAGTGAGAGTTACATCCCCAAGATGGCAATAAGAGACACAATTAGAAAGAGCTGGCCTACCATTTCTTGATTCTCTAAACTAAATTGTTTTAGTAATTTTTAAAATAAAATTACTTGGCGTCCAACAATTTTAAATTATTTCTTTCTATCCCACACTTCCCTTATTACTAGCCTTATTTATGTGTATTGTCATAGTGCCTAGGAATCCCAATCATAGCCCAGGATCCATAGGCACTGTACAAACACAAAACAAAAAGACAGTCCCTGCCCCAAGGAGCTTACATAAGGCTCACATGCCTTGCTGGGATTCCTGAGCTTGGCTCTCCCTCGAGGGGGCTCTGATGCCCAACTTGGGCTTTGCTGGGTTCCTTGCACTTTGCTCCTTTCTGATTGCGCTGTAGAGAAAAGTGGTCATATTTGGTGGGGCCAAAATAAGCTGTCATTCACAATAGACCTTCATTGTCTTCATCTAACATTATCTTTCCTCTCCATTCTTAAATGCTCTGATGAGCAATGAGTTAACAATGTTAACATTTAAAGTACTAACACTGGCATCTCAGTCCCCATTGAGATGAATGGGTCAGATTACACCTCTCAGAACTATTGTTGCAGGTTCTGCAAACACAAGCTGATGTCACAGCGTCCCTTAGCCTCAAAAGTGTGACCTGAGCGTATCTCAGCAACCATTGTAACAGTTAGCGACTTCATTTTTAAAAAAATATATCTTAGACTCTGGAAAACAAGAAGGCAGCATAAAAGAGCTGCCTTCTTGTGTGAATCCTGATCTAGGCTTTCATAGTTCACTCATCATCCTGGTATCTGATCACTTGCTTGAGTAGGTCTAGAGAATAAGAAGCTTATCCTTATTCTTCAGAAATTAGATGGCAACTGTTAAACTTTAAACGGCGAGCCTATCATTAGCCCATTAAAGATGCTGGGATTTTTTTAAAATGGAGACTATGGACTGTGGCTAGTGTTAAATCTCCAATGGGAAGCTTGTGGCAAGCACTACAGAACCAGAAATGAGAAAAATAAGGGTTGCACAGTATGAAATCTGCTCCTAACTCACATTCAGCAGTTTCAGAAAAGTCATTCTTGCCTATACTTCTAAACTAACTGAAAATAGGCCCACCATACAGTGTCATAAAACTATAATATTTTCTCCACCACTTGGTTCCAGACAGTAAGTGCATGCATTATTTATAGAAAATAATTGCAAGACAATTAGCTCAGTGAACGTAATCATTTCTGAATGGGAGTAGGTAGTGAGACACAAAAAGCATATGGTATTTTACAAACTGTTTATAAATTTTAAAGGCAGTGAAAAGAAGCATAGACTTGATTCATCAAGAACAAGAAGAGAAAAGAAATTTTCCCAAGGGTTTGCCAGAGATTATATTGATCAGGCCCTTCATTTAAGGTTTATTTTTACACATTATATCACTTCTGATGTTTTCCTACAATACAGACATCTCTGAACTATGATTTAGGATTTCAAAGTGTTCCTGTTTCTGTTCTCTAGTTAATCTTTAGAAGCTGAGGTCTTTGACAGAAGACAGGTTTGGCTTTCCAACCAGAGAGAAAACCCAGATATACAATGAAATGTGACCCAGAACTCTCTTAAAGTGCATCCCTTGCTTTCCTATGAGGTTTACCCAAAGAGATGGATTGCCTGCAGTATTTACAGCCTCTTAGCACCACTCTGCTTTTTTCTTGTCCTCCCACATTTCCACTCCATCTCTCTCTTATTTGATATACCCCTTCTCTTCCTGTGTACAGCCTCCTGAGGAAAAAGGCTTGTTCATGCTCCCCTGAAATCCCTGTGCCACCTTCTCCTCATATCTGCCTTCATTTTTGCCCCCTCCTTTTTTCTGAACTCTTTCTGTCCTCCTTACCATCATTTTTATGGGCTTCTCCTCACATCCCTCCTCTTTTTTGTGCCTCTTTGAACTACTCCCTCCTCCATTTTATTGCCTATTCCTTTCCTTCTCCGCTCCTCCTCCCCCCATTTTTTAACCTTGTTGCCACTCCTGGACTTTGCACCTCTCTCCCTGTCCCTCTATTTTTGCAGAGCTTTTGACGTTGTCCCATGTTGACACTTCTTCACCCTTACTCCTTGTATTTTTGTACCTATCTGCTCTTCCCTCATTTTTTCCTTCCTCTTCCCCACCCGCATTTTGTGCTCTCCCTCCTTCCTGATCTTCTGTCCCATCACCCTCTGCTCAACACACTTAATCATGGCTTCATCTTTGTGATTTACACTTCTTGGTTTCACTGAATTAATTTACACATCCAAATCTCAGAATTTTGTATTTGTCCATCGACTGAAATAAGCAAATGAGTATATGGACCCCATGTACGTATGCGTGTGTTTCCTGTTTGCCTAAAATCTGGAAATAAGCAGATAATCAGTAGGTGTACGTGTGTGTGTGCGTGCGTCCATCATCTGGACATAAGCAAGTGTGTGAGAGAGAGAGAGAGAGAGAGGGAGACCAGGACATAAGTAACTGAGTGTCTGTGTTAGTGTGACATCTGGACTTAAGTAATTGAGTATATATGCCTCTGTGTGTGAGAGAGAGAGAGATGGACTTAACTGTGTGTCAGGGTGGGGGGTTTGTGGGACGTAATTTTGTGTGTGTGTGTGTGTGCGTGTGTGAGGAGTGCTGGCAGGGGTGAAAGTAACATAGAAGACTTACCTGTATGGGGGCCTGGCTCCAGGCCCCTGGAATGGACAGGGCCTCACATGGAAGGGGCAGGGCTGGGGTCAGCCTCCCCCAGCCAGCCCAGCCGCACTGCCTGGCCCCTGCCGCCTGGGGCTCTAGCCGCAATTTTAAAGGGCTGGGGGCTCCCGCCGCCCCCTACCCCTCCCCCCGCACCTTTCACCTCTGTGTGCTGGAACAATTTGTATAGTGGGGGTGCTGAGAGCCACTGAACCAAACTGTAAACCCTGTATATGATGGAAACCACTTCAAGCCAGGGGGTGCGGCCCCTATGAGCTGCGTGTGGGGAAGGTGTGTGTGTGTGTGAGAGAGAGAGAGAGAGAGAGATCTGGATGTCAGTAACTGAGTATATGTGCTGGAGTGTGTGTGTGGGGGCCCGCGCCCCGCATTTGGCCGCAAGCAAGGTAGCGTGTGTCAGCGCCCATCACTTGCCACAACAAGTATGTTCATGTTTCCTCCCCTGGAAGACGGGCGGGAAAGTTTGTGCCGGAGTGGGACGCTCTCCGGAGCAGGCCCCCAGGGGAGCAGGCCAAGCCCAGCCCAGCAGAGGCTGGGTGTCATTATCCGGCGTTGGGCTGGTCCCTGGCCCCTTCCCGCCCCTCGGCCACGACTGGGAGGAGGATGGCAGCGCTTGTGCACTGGGCGCTCCCGCCGCTGGGGAGAGCTGTGCCCGCGCCGCTCGGAGCACAGGCGGGGACAGGCTCAGAGAGCCCCGGCCGCTTCCCTGCCTCCTATCGCACCGCATGCAACTAGTGGGATCCTCCTCCTGCTGCCAGGAGCAGCCTGGTGCTCCCTCCAGAGCAGAGCCAGCAGGGCAGCCCCCAAGAAAGGCTCAGTTCGGAGCAGAGGGGGCGCGGGGGCTTGCAAAGGGGGGGAGGACCTCCGCTGCGGCTGGCTCCCAACTATGCAGGCGGCTGCCCAGTGGCATCGGCGGCTGCAGGCGGGCGGCGGGCAGAGGCAGCCGCCGCGTGCAGTGTGAGCGGAGAGCTCGGCTCCATTCCCAAGGATGCTGGGGGGCGATGCCTGGCGGCAGGGAGGACGAGATTTGCCAGAAAGCGCTGCAGCTGCTGGCCGAGCTCTGCTCCAGCGGGGCGGTGGAGAACGAGAACTGCCTGGATTTCATCTACTACTTGCGGGACAGAGCCCGACCCCGGCTCACGGACTCAGGTACACGCTGCTGCTCAGGCCGGAGGGCGGGGGATGCTCGGAGAAAACAATACTCCCTAGTTCCTTCCCACCCTCATTGTGTCGCTAACTTACCGGGAAGGGGCGAAACCCCACTCCCCCAAGACGCCTTCCCCGGTGTCTGGAGTCCGGGAGACGCAGGATCAATGCTCCTCACCCCAGCTATGGGGAGACGCAGAATCAGTATCCCCATCCCGCCCCACCCATGGGGAGATACAGAATCAACACCCCCCCATCCCACCCCAGCCCTGGGGAGACGCAGAATCAATACCCCGCATCCCACCCCACCCATGGGGAGATACAGAATCAATATCCCCATCCCGCCCCACCTATGGGGAGATACAGAATCAACACCCCCCATCCCGCCCCATCCCGGGCCGAACCATCCCCCATCCCACCCCAGCCCTGGGGAGATGCAGAATCAATACCCCGCATCCCACCCCACCCATGGGGAGATGGAGAATCAACACCCCCCATCCCGCTCCACCCATGGGGAGATGCAGAATCAACACCCCCCATCCCACCCCAGCCCTGGGGAGATACAGAATCAACACCCCCCCATCCCGCCCCAGCCCTGGGGAGACGCAGAATCAATACCCCGCATCTCACCCCACCCATGGGGAGATGGAGAATCAACACCCCCCATCCCGCCCCACCCATGGGGAGATGCAGAATCAACACCCCCCATCCCACCCCAGCCCTGGGGAGATACAGAATCAACACCCCCCCATCCCGCCCCAGCCCTGGGGAGACGCAGAATCAATACCCCGCATCTCACCCCACCCATGGGGAGATACAGAATCAACACCCCCCCATCCCGCCCCAGCCCTGGGGAGACGCAGAATCAATACCCCGCATCCCACCCCACCCATGGGGAGATACAGAATCAACACCCCCCCATCCCGCCGCAGCCCTGGGGAGATGCAGAATCAATACCCTGCATCCCACCCCATCCATGGGGAGATACAGAATCAACACCCCCCCATCCCGCCCCATCCCTGAGGAGACGCAGAATCAATACCCCGCATCCCACCCCACCCATGGGGAGATGCAGAATCAACACCCCCATCCCGCCCCACCCATAGCGAGACGCAGAATCAACACCCCCATCCTGCCCCACCCATGGGGAGACGCAGAATCAACACCCCCCATCCCGCCCCACCCATGGGGAGATGCAGAATCAACACCCCCCCATCCCGCCCCACCCATGGGGAGACGCAGAATCAATACCCCCATCACACCCAGCCATGGGGAGATGAGGAATCAATACTTCCATTCACACCCCAGCCCTGGGGAGATGCTAAATCAACAGCCTCACCCTACCCCTAGGTACCTCCACTGAACAACAAGGGAGGTGAAGAATGTGTCCCTCCTCATACCCACTCCCCAGGGCATATACACCCCTTCTGCTCTAACTTCAGAGGGGAAACATTCCCGTAGGATAAAAGCAATAGCTCTGATTGTTCAGGACAGGAGTGGACTCAGTCACAGAATCTATTCTTTAGTTTCAAGCAACGACCTGATCTAAGTGTTTTTCTGCAGAGTAATGTAGAAGGCTGCTAAAAGGTAAAACCCGATGGGGTTTTATGTGTTCCTAAATCATTAGGATTTTTGAAGAAATCAACAACTGGTGTCATCAATTTCCAGCCATTCTTTCAGGTGGTTACACTATTCATATGATTAGATTCCTCCCCTTGAAACTGGATTCATTTAGGACAAAAGCATGTATGTACATCAATTTTAGCAAATCTTAATTTCAACAGTATTTCCAGTGAAATATAATTGTGACTGCTGGTCTGAAACCAGGAATCATAGATTCACTACTTTAAATTATCTCATCTTAGTTGTTCAGTGTTTTCATTTGTTTTAAAGCTTAAGAATGTTTGCTTCCAGATAGCAGTTTGAACCTATAAGTAGCTTTACTGAGTTCAATCAAACCAGAATCTCAGTGTTCAGTGACAGGTTTCAGAGTAGAAGCCTTGTTAGTCTGTATCTGTACTTGTGGCACTTTAGAGACTAACAAATTTATTAGAGCATAAGCTTTTGTGGGCTACAGCCCACTTCATCAGATGCATAGAATGGAACATATATATATATATATATATATACATACACATACAGATAAGTTGGAAGTTACCATACAATCTGTGAGAGGCTAATTAGTTAAGATGAACTATTATCAGCAGGAGAAAAAAACTTTTGTAGTGATACTCAAGATGGCCCATTTAGATAGTTGACAAGAAGGTGTGAAGATACTTAACATAGGGAAATAGATTCAATATGTGTAATGACCCAGCCACTCCCAGTCTCTGTTCAAACCCAAGTTAATAGTATCTAGTTTGCATATTAATTCAAACTCAGCAGTTTCTTGTTGGAGTCTGTTTTAGAAGCTTTTCTTTTGCAAAATTGCCACCTTTATATCTTTTACTGAGTGACCAGAGAGGCTGACGTGTTATCCTACCGGTTTTTGAATGTTATGATTCCTGATGTCAGATTTATGTCCATTTATTCTTTTGCGTAGAGACTGTCTGGTTTGGCCAATGTACATGGCAGAGGGGCATTGCTGGCACATGATGGCATATATCACATTGGTAGATGTGCAGGTGAATGAGCCCCTGATGGCGTGGCTAATGTGATTAGGTCCTATGATGGCGTCACTTGAATAAATATGTGGACACAGTTGGCAACGGGCTTTGTTGCAAGGATAGGTTCCTGGGTAGTGGTTCTGTTGTGTGGTGTGTGGTTGCTGGTGAGTATTTGCTTCAGGTTGGGAGCTGTCTGTAAGCAAGGACTGGCCTGTCTCCCAAGATCTGTGAGAGTGATGGGTCGTCCTTCAGGATAGGTTGTAGATCCTTGATGATGCATTGGAGAGGTTTTAGTTGGGGGCTGAAGGTGATGGCTAGTGGCATTCTGTTATTTTCTTTGTTGGGCCTGTCCTGTAGTAGGTGACTTCTGGGTACTCTTCTGGCTCTGTCAATCTGTTTTTTCACTTCAGCAGGTGGATATTGTCGTTTCTAATACTATATTTCAATTTCTATACTGCGTCAAATCAAGGTTTCACAGGTGTGAAGGAAAATTAAAATGAGCAGAACCATTTTTAGAAAGAGTTAAAATAACTGAGAACTGGACAGTATTTGCAGTACTCTAAATTGTACTGGCAGTTCAGCTACTCGTCACTGCACAGTAATAATGATGTATTTACTATTCTTACAGTAGTTAGTTCAGTTATTCCAATTTCAGTCTATTCTTCAATGTCTAATGCTTTCAAACAAAGATTTTGCAGTAACTTGATTAATATGAGACAGCTTTCATGATGTAAATTACTGACAAATACTTGGGTAAACTAAGATAGCTTGAGCAATCCAATAAGGAGAATAAAACTGGTTAGGTAAAAAAATCTTCCATGTAAAATAAACGAAGCAGAATTTTCATATGTCTAGGTTATTTGTATTAAGATCTATTTTCAGCCGTGATAACTTCATTCACTTAAAACAACTCTAATTTTAAAAGATTGCAGACATTTGTAACAAGAACTTTAAAATTTGCTAAAAGATAGGTAGAATAACTCACCAAATAAATATTATACACATGCATTTAATAATTTTAAGAATAATTTGGTTCAAATAAATACTTTGTGTGTGACAGACACTTCTCTGTCAAAAAGCATTCAAGAAGTGATTGTGTCTATTTCTAGTTTCTCTAGTTTGTATATACTCAGGTATCAATCACATTCTTGTATCCTAAGTAATGATTCCCAAGGACAGCTGCTTAAGTCAATTATCACTTAGAATTGTGAGTTATTTGAACCATATGTAAAGAGGTAGCCTAAATCACTTTGAATAACAAGCATTTTTGAGATTTTTTGTAGAAGACACCTGACTATTCATGAAAGTATCATGCAGACATGATGTCTGGCATTCTGTCTGGGAACATTTTAAAAACATACTGTGCTCAGTAAAGTTATATACATTGAGCATACATCGCTGCAAGAATATGAGATTCTTAGTCTTCTTGTATTACTTTCCATAATGAAGAAAACTGTTTCTGTATTTCTTATTTTAGCTCATTATTTCTTAAACCATTATGGTAGGATGAGTTTTTAGTATTTGCTGCAAACCTGATCTATTACACAGAGTAACTAGAAAAGGAGTACTTGTGGCACCTTAGAGACTAACCAATTTATTTGAGCATGAGCTTTCGTGAGCTACAGCTCACTTCATCGGATGCATACTGTGGAAACTGCAGCAGACTTTATATATACACAGAGAATATGAAACAATACCTCCTCCCACCCCACTGTCCTGCTGGTAATAGCTTATCTAAAGTGATCATCAGGTGGGCCATTTCCAGCACAAATCCAGGTTTTCTCACCCTCCACCCCCCCACACAAATTCACTCTCCTGCTGGTGCTAGCAGAGTAACTACTATGTTAGGAAGCTGTTAATTTGCACTTAACTCACATTTCTATCGTTCAAATGTGGGATTGTCAAGAAAATGAATTCCCCATAAAGTTTGGTTTCCCAGTCAAATCCATGGATGGTAAGAAGACAGTGCATTCAACTCCCAAAAGAGGGAGACAGTACCCCTTCAATAGCAGACAGGCCAAATCCAGCTTGATTTACTCACATAAGAAATACCATTGAATTAATGGTGGAATGGAATTTATGGGCTCTGAAGAGAGACTCATCAGTTTTCAAGGACTGGAAGGATGTTGGCTACAATATAGGGCTGGGGACAGATTCTTCTGGGCAAAAATAAGCATGAAGTCATCTTAATTGTGTCATACTCTCTTTACTATGTAAGCAAGTTTTACATCAGCCACCCAAACTATGTTCCTCTCAGATAGCAGGAAATCCTGTCAAGCCAGACACAAAAGAAAACCATTTTAAAATACATAAACATTTGTTAGTAAATAGAGCTGACAAGAGTGTGGCTATAAAGGAAAAATATATGTGGTGTGTGGCTGATGGTTAGCAATGCTACTGTTTTCATTATGGCAGTTCTTGTACAAAAATATGTGAATGCTATTTTTAGAAAGTTTCTCCATGCTCAGATGCATTTTCCCAGTAAATTATATGCTTACCTAAACTCTTCAACCTGGAGAAAATGGTGATGTACAATATCTTTACTTGTTACATAATTTTCCCTATATGGAAGAAAGGATGGTCTATTGGTTAGGGTA